TGAAATCTGTATTAGGGGGAAAGAGTCTGGTGTTCTTTTGCGAACAATTTTTGATGAATGTTCCGGACCTACTCAGGAGTAGGCCATTTTTGTCTGTGTGTTAATATCTTTGATGTATTGTAGTTCAAAAGCCAGTTTTTGTATGATAAAATTGAGATTATTTTTTTACAGGCGTTAATATTTTATGGTACAATCATCATTTGAGTCGTTAAGATTTGGCTATTTGAGTATCTTAATAGAGTCAATAGCTCTAGAACATGATAAGGAAATATATAATTGTCCATGAGAGAAGATGGTTTAAGGAAGGTAAATTCCTACACAATCCAATGTTTGTCCATATGCAATGTTAAAGGTCTTACAATGTCTTGTGCTCGCGCAGTTCACCTCTAAAAAATTGCCGGTATAGTTGGGAAATCAAGAAAAAACAAAAGCTACTCTAAATTTAAATAAAGCTACTTTATGAGTTTGGCTCTGCTTTGTTGGTTTTTTGAATCATATGATGAGACTCATATAGCCTTGAAAATTAGAGTGCACTGTTGTAGCCCTGTCATGCCAATTGAATTATGGGAGAACTTGATTGGCGACAGGAAGATGGATAGTTGTTTTTCTATCCATGAAGCTGAATATATACCTTTGGTGTCACTATGTGCAAAAGTTAATTGCAATCAGAAACATTCGAACTTGGAAGCTGTTTATCCTATGTTGGTGGAATTGAATATATTTGAAGCTGTGTCATCTAGGAAATTTTCTGCTAGATGTAGCTCAATTCTCTTGATAGTTTGTTAGCATATTCCCTGCTCTTATAGCCGTACACAATAACTTCCAGATACTTCTGTATGAGGCTGAATTCATTTTGCATTATCACACTTCTGTATATAGCTTATTGTGATACCTTCTTGCAGGTCATATCAATCACTCTGTATTCTGGAATAATCTCAAGCCTGTCATGTAGGTTTGGTTCTCTTTTATTCATTTCGGCCCAACAAAGAATAGTGCTTTTATGATTGATAGGAGGGAGGTGGTGAACTCTCCATGGTGCACTTGCGTTGGGCTATTGACAGCAGAGTTTGGTTCAATGGAAGCTCTAGTGCAAAAAATGAACTCAGAAGGAGCTGCTTTGCAACGTTCTGGTTGGGTGGTGAGTTATTCTTTTAATGGTTGTTTCATCTGTTAGGATATGAACATCCATTAATATTTATGCAAATATGCAAGTATTCGAGTCCAATTCGAAAAAACCAGACGTGTAAACAATTCAGCCATGTAAACATCGAGTTGGCAAAAATTAGTAGAGTTCTGTTTATACAAATGGCTAGTATGAACAATATTTTAAATCATAGAGAACATAGTTATTATGCTTACTCGGGAATGTAGGAGTCTCAGCTTTAGATAGTGTATTATTTAGTTTATGTCTCAATAGATTTTTGAAACTTTGAAGCTTGATAGATATAGATATATAACTGTTTTTTTTTTTAATTTAACTTCCAGCTATGCTTTAGGAAGCTGCAGTCTTATCTTAGCTTTCTGATACACACAGGAAACTACAAATATCCTTTGGGCACTCTGCTTGAATATGCTTGAGGATTTATAAGATTTTATTTTTAATTTGTGCAGAGCATGAACGAATTGTTGGGTTATTGCAAAAGCTCAAGGACAAGGGAAGGAAATAGGCTTACGGTATATATAACCCATCTTCTTTTTATTATTATTATTTTTAAATTTAGCTTTTCTAAAATTCGCTAGAATTAGATTATATCGCTTATTTATTCTTTTGGAGTGGGCGGTTAAACATGATATCTGAAAGTAATTTAATTGGAAATTTGGGTGTGTTTAAACTGATTGCTGCAGGTGATTCGCGGTTTCAACAAGCCGAGTAGGAGTGATATCTGAAGCTTTCTTTTGATATGTGTATGTGCTATATATGCGCCATATGTGTGTGGTCTTTTTGCATTGTCTATGCGTGTGCAAATTGGTGTGTAAGTCGTAGCTTCTGAGATTTGTGGACTGATGTGATGTCAATGAGATTGAATAATCATATGTAGCTTCTTCAAGTTTATGTGCAGACCCTTCTGTGCAACTTAATAAGAATTCCTTTGGTATGACCGTCTGTTATTTTCAAAACTGAGGCTGTATAAGCCTTTTAGATTTCTTTTATGATTTGTTTTGAGTCATTGGATCTTGATATTGGCAGAATACCGGAAGATTTTCATCTCTACCTAGTTACAAATGGGGGCTTTTTCCTCCAGCAATTGTTTTGATCTATTCCTTGGGTGTGATGTTTCATTTTTTTTTAGCTTAATTGTAAAAAAAAAAAAAAAAAAAAAACTTACTGTAGCATAGGCATCCTAGACGGAAATTCCGTCTAGGATGCTAAATTCCGTCTAGAATATTGATTTTTTAAAAAAATTAAAAAATTAAAAACATCCTAGACGGAAATTCCGTCTAGGATAGTCATCCTAGACGGAATTTCCGTCTAGGATAACAATTCTAAGAGGAATTTTTTTCCGTCTAGGATGTAGTATTCTACGACGGAAATTCGCGTCTAGAATAATCCGTCTAGGATGTATTTAGACGGTTTTGAATTCCGTCTATAATAATCCGTCTAGAATGTATTCTAGACGGAATTTCCGTCTAGAATACTACATTCTAGACGGAAACATTCTAGACGCGTATTCTAGACGGAAATTCCGTCTAGAATACGCATCTAGACGGAATTTTAGGTATCCTAGACGGAAATTTCCGTCTAGGATGCCTCATTATTTAGTAGTGTAAGTTCGTCCTCTAAAATTTAACAGCGAGTGTATTATTTGAAGATACGATTCATGCATCGGATGGAGTGTATAAGGAAGAAATTGAAAGAAAATGGATTCCATAAATGCATGCAAATGAAGGAGGCGTGTATTGGCATTATTAACGGAGAGTTTTCAGGTAGGCTTTACGACGTAAATTCAAATGGATGTAGATATAATATTTTAATTGTATTTCATCTTTGTATAGGAATATTATTATTATTACTTGAAATAGTGAAATTTCGTCTCAAGAAAAAGTTGTTTTATCTTCATTTTAGTCCATTATATATTGTTTCATATTATTTTTATCAATAAAACAGTAATAGATTAATTGATTAATACCGCAACAGAAAACCATTTCTAAAAATTAGGAAATACAGTATTACTTGATTACATATCGGAAATTAGACTTTGAATAGGTTTTCCCATCACTTTGTAAGAATTTCATAATATCGAATTATATATCTATGATTAAAATAGTTGAGAATGGAAGAGAATGTACGATGATCTATATCCTCCATATCCAAGTTATGAGAAGCAATTATATTAACTATATGCTTGAATAGTTCCATCTGCTGCTGAAACATAGGGATTGGATAATATCTTCGTAATTTTGATAGCTTTCTTTTAGAAGCTTGGTTTTCTCAATATTTAGGGGCAGTGATGTACATAATTTCCATATTTGGTGAATGGAATAAAAGTATTTTTCATTTACCAAAAAAAAAGTTATTGAGAAGTAACGGCGGAGCACACAATGTCCAGTGGAGTTACAAAGACACTACTAGATTCCCTACTTCATATATTTTCATTATTTTTTTACGTGTATTCTACTGCTTAGGACATCATTGAGATCGATTAGGTTATAACACCACTAAAAAGGATAGTATTGTGAAATTGCCAATACATATTCCAACAATACAACCATGATAAGTTATATGGTGACTCCACTGGGTCAATCCTATTTACCCCAAAGGCAATATTGTCACAGTTGTAGAACAAAGACAATATAGTAAGGATGCCAAATTTGAAAATGTTGGCAAATTTTTAGAGGCGCTGTTGGTGCATGCTGCACAGGTGGATAAAACACATTCAGCCATGTAAACATCGAGTTGGCAAAAATTTAGTAGAGTTCTGTTTATACAAATGGGCTAGTATGAACAATATTTTAAATCATAGAGGAACATAGTTATTATGCTTACTCGGGAATGCATCTCATTCAAATAAAAAACAGACTACTCTCCTATTACTAAGCTATAGGGCTAAATAACCAATTAATATGAATTAGCTAAAGAAATGGCTGAAATTTATAGTAGCAACATCTTCAAACAAAAAACTTCAGGAGGAAGCATGACATCAGAGTCCATAATTTGCTAGATTTGCTGGAGATTTCAAATAAACGAATAAATAACAATTATGGAAGATTCTAAAGAATTCGTTGAATGAACAGGTGTATGGAGAAAATAGTTCATGTTTGAGAATGATTTATGAATATTTATACAGGAAAAATAATTAGTATAAGGAGAAATGTTGCGTGAATGTGTGATTGTTAAATTGATCTAGACTGTCAAAATGTTGGAAATTAACACTAGTAGAAAAACACGTATTCTAGACGGAATATTCTAGACGGAATTTTTTCCGTCTAGAATGTATTAAACTAGACGGAAAATTTCCGTCTAGGATAAAACATTCTAGATGGAAATTTCCGTCTAGAATAGTAAAGTAGACGGTTTATTTAATTTTATTTTTTTTTAAATTAACCAAGTATTCTAGACGGAAATTTCCGTCTAGAATAGTATCCTAGACGGAATTTCCGTCTAGGATACTTAGCCAATTTAAAAAAAAATTTACCCAATAATCCCGCGAACAATGCCTTCCCCCCCCCCCCCCAAAAAAAAAAAAACGAATACTTCATCCCCAAATTTCCATAATTTCAGGAACCCCTCTCCTACTCCTCCCTCCACCGCCTCCCCCTCCTCTCCCTCTCCTCCTCAACCTCACCCCTACCTCTCTCTCTCCCCCTCTACTCCTTCTCCATCCATGGCCTCACCACCTCTCCCTTCTCCACCTCTCCCACCTCTCTTATTGGGAACGGCTCGAAATTAGGGCCTAGGGCTAGGGTTAGGGTTTTTCTCGCTCAAATTCGCCTCATTTGTTAAATCCTCTTCGATTCGATTCGTTAACATTTAGAGGAGATGGTGAGTATAGATCCGTTCCATCATCCAATTCGCATGGGAACCTCAACGAAGCAGATCACGCAGCTGATGCAGTGCAAGCCTCTATCAAAGCATGAGGTGAGCTGAATCTCCTCGATTCGTTTCAAATCTGTTAATTTTTCCTGTTTTGGTCTCGTATTGTGTTTGTTTGCTGGATTATAGTAGATCTTGGATTGTTTTAGGTTTATTGGCAGGAAATGTGGGTTTGTTTCTGTGATCTACGAATTGTGCGGTTTGTTGAACTAGGGTTTCTGTTTCGGGTGAAATCTGTATTAGGGGAAGAGTCGTGTTCTTTTGCGAACAATTTTGATGAATGTTCCGGACCTACTCAGGAGTAGGCCATTTTTGTCTGTGTGTTAATATCTTTGATGTATTTGTAGTTCAAAGCCAGTTTTTGTATGATAAAATTGAGATTATTTTTTACAAGCGTTAATATTTTATGGTACAATCATCATTTGAGTCGTTAAGATTTGGCTATTTGAGTATCTTAATAGAGTCAATAGCTCTAGAACATGATAAGGAAATATATAATTGTCCATGAGAGAAGATGGTTTAAGGAAGGTAAATTCCTACACAATCCAATGTTTGTCCATATGCAATGTTAAAGGTCTTACAATGTCTTGTGCTCCCGCAGTTCACCTCTAAAAAATTGCCGTATAGTTGGGAAATCAAGAAAAAACAAGCTACTCTAAATTTAAATAAAGCTACTTTATGAGTTTGCTCTGCTTTGTTGGTTTTTTGAATCATATGATGAGACTCATATAGCCTTGAAAATTAGAGTGCACTGTTGTAGCCCTGTCATGCCCAATTGAATTATGGGAGAACTTGATTGGCGACAGGAAGATGGATAGTTGTTTTCTATCCATGAAGCTGAATATATACCTTTGGTGTCACTATGTGCAAAAGTTAATTGCAATCAAGAACATTCGGAACTTGGAAGCTGTTTATCCTATGTTGGTGGAATTGAATATATTTGAAGCTGTGTCATCTAGGAAATTTTTCTGCTAGATGTAGCTCAATTCTCTTGATAGTTTGTTAGCATATTCCTGCTCTTATAGCCGTACACAATAACTTCCAGATACTTCTTGTATGAGGCTGAATTCATTTTGCATTATCACACTTCTGTATATAGCTTATTGTGATACCTTCTTGCAGGTCATATCAATCACTCTGTATTCTGGAATAATCTCAAGCCTGTCAATGTAGGTTGGTTCTCTTTTATTCATTTCGGCCCAACAAAGAATAGTGCTTTTATGATTGATAGGAGGGAGGTGGTGAACCTCCACATGGTGCACTTGGTTGGGCTATTGACACAGAGTTTGGTTCAATGGAAGCTCTAGTGCAAAAAATGAACTCAGAAGGAGCTGCTTTGCAAGGTTCTGGTTGGGTGGTGAGTTATTCTTTTAATGGTTGTTTCATCTGTATAGGATATGAACATCCATTAATATTTATCAAATATCAAGTATTCGAGTCCAAATTCGAAAAACACCAGACGTGTAAACACATTCAGCCATGTAAACATCGAGTTGGCAAAATTAGTAGAGTTCTGTTTATACAAATGGCTAGTATGAACAATATTTTAAATCATAGAGAACATAGTTATTATGCTTACTCGGGAATGTAGGAGTCTCAGCTTAGATAGTGTATTATTTAGTTTATGTCTCAATAGATTTTTGAACTTTGAAGCTTGATAGATATAGATATATACTGTTTTTTTTTTTATTTAACTTCCAGCTATGCTTTAGGAAGCTGCAGTCTTATCTTAGCTTTCTGATACACACAGGAAACTACAAATATCCTTTTGGGCACTCTGCTTGATATGCTTGAGGATTTTTAAGATTTTATATTTTAATTGTGCAGAGCATGAACGAATTGTTGGGGTTATCTGCAAAAGCTCAGGACAAGGGAAGGGAATAGCTTACGGTATATATAACCCATCTTTCTTTTTATTATTATTATTTTTTAATTTAGCTTTTCTAAAATTCCGCTAGAATTATGATTATATGCTTATTTATTCTTTTGGAGTGGGCGGTTAAAACATGATATCTGAAAGTAATTAATTGGAAATTTGGGTGTGTTTAACTGATTGCTGCAGGTGATTCCGGTTTCAAACAAGCCGAGTAGGAGTGATATCTGAAGCTTCTTTTGATATGTGTATGTGCTATATATGCGCCATATGTTGTGGTCTTTTTGCATTGTCTATGCGTGTGCAAATTGGTGTGTAAGTCGTAGCTTCTGAGATATTGTGGACTGATGTGATGTACAATGAGATTGAATAATCATATGTAGCTTCTTCAAGTTTATGTGCAGACCCTTCTGTGCAACTTAATAAGAATTCCTTTGGTATGACCGTCTGTTATTTTCAAACTGAGGCTGTATAAGCCTTTTAGATTTCTTTTATGATTGTTTTGAGTCTATTGGATCTTGATATTGGCAGAATACTCGGAAGATTTTCATCTCTACCTAGTTACAAATGGGGGCATTTTCCTCCAGCAATTGTTTTGAGTCTATTCCTATGGTGTGATGTTTCATTTTTTTTGGCTTAACTGTAAAAAAAAAAAAAACTACTGTAGCATAGCATCCTAGACGGAAATTCCGTCTAGGATGCTAAAATTCCGTCTAGAATACTTGATTTTTTAAAAAAAATTAAAAAAATTAAAAACATCCTAGACGGAAATTCCGTCTAGGATAGTCATCCTAGACGGAATTTCCGTCTAGGATAACAATTCTAGACGGAATTTTTTTCCGTCTAGGATGTAGTATTCTAGACGGAAATTCCGTCTAGAATAATCCGTCTAGGATGTATTCTAGACGGTTTTGAATTCCGTCTATAATAATCCGTCTAGAATGTATTCTAGACGGAATTTCCGTCTAGAATACTACATTCTAGACGGAAACATTCTAGACGCGTATTCTAGACGGAATTCCGTCTAGAATACGCATTCTAGACGGAATTTTAGGTATCCTAGACGGAAATTTCCGTCTAGGATGCCTCATTATTTAGTAGTGTAAGTTCGTCCTCTAAAATTTAACAGCGAGTGTATTATTTGAAAGATACGATTCATGCATCGGATTGGAGTGTATAAGGAAAGAAATTGAAAGAAATGGATTCCATAAATCATGCAAATGAAGGAGGCGTGTATTGGCATTAATTAACGGAGAGTTTTCAGGTAGGCTTTACGACGTAAATTCAATGGATGTAGATATAATATTTTAATTGTATTCATCTTTGTATAGGAATATTATTATATTACTTGAAATAGTGAAATTTCGCTCTCAAAGAAAAAGTTGTTTTATCTTCAATTTTAGTCCATTATATATTGTTTCATATTATTTTTATCAATAAAACAGTAATAGATTAATTGATTAATACCAACAATGAAACCATTTCTAAAAATTAGGAAATACAGTATTACTTGATTACATATCGGAAATTAGACTTTGAATAGGTTTTCCCATCACCTTTGTAAGAATTTCATAATCATCGAATTATATATCTATGATTAAAATAGTTGAGAATGGAAGAGAATGTACGATGATCTATATCCTCCATATCCAAGTTATGAGAAGCAATTATATTAACTATATGCTTGAATAGTTCCATCTCTGCTGAACATAGGGATTGGATAATATCTTCGTAATTTTGATAGCTTTCTTTTAGAAGCTTGGTTTTCTCAATATTTAGGCAGTGATGTACATAATTTCCATATTTTGGTGAATGAATAAAAGTATTTTTCATTTACCAAAAAAAAAGTTATGAGAAGTAACGGCGGAGCCACACAATGTCCAGTGGAGTTACAAGACACTACTAGATTCCCTACTTCATATATCTTTTCATTATTTTTACGTGTATTCACTGCTTAGGACATCATTGAGATCGATTAGGTTATAACACCACTAAAAAGGATAGTATTGTGAAATTGCCAATACATATTCCAAATACAACCATGATAAGTTATATGGTGACTCCACTGGGTCAAATCCTATTTACCCCAAAAGGCAATATTGTCACATTGTAAGAACAAAGACAATATAGTAAGGATGCCAAATTTGAAAATGTGGCAAATTTTTAGAGCGCTGTTGGTGCATGCTGCACAGGTGGACAAATTCAACTATCTGCAGTTTATAATTCTATTACTGTACAATTGCCTTTGGCTTCCTGGTCTGACACAGTTTGGGGAGGACTTCACTATCCAAAACATTCAGTTGTTCTTTGGTTAGTTTGTCTTTCCAGGCTGTTAACACAGGACAGACTCTGCCGCATGGGGATATTGAATCAAAACAAATGTGTCTTGTGTCCAAATCTGCAACTAGAAACCTGTAATCACTTATTCTTCGAATGTCAGTTTTCAGCTGATGTTTGGAATAGGGTGATGAACTGGTTGGGGTTTTCATGGAGGTCTTGCAACTGGAACATATATAGTTATTAGTTGGTACTCTCTTAATCTCAAAAGAAGAGGATTCAAGCAACAATTGAAGAGGATGGCTCTCTCTGTTACAGTCTACATGATTTGGCAAGAGAGAAATATGAGAATATTTCAAAATAAGTTTCGGTCATCTGAATTGTTGTTTAAGACAGTAAAGTTGCTGATATTTTCAAGGATTTTGAACAATGAGGATATTCCTATTCATATCAGAGAGTCACTAGAGATGATATGAAATAGAATATAGTTTGTATCAGTGTGGTCATCAGTTTTGTAGCTGATATTTGATGTTCATTACAAATGTACATATTGGGAAATGAAATAAAGCTCTTTTTCATTGACCAAAAAAAAAGACAATAAAGCAGAACAAAGTTAGTTTTATTAATAACAGGCCATTTTCTATTTGTACAAAATATACCAACAATAAAAAGAGGAAATGGGAGGGAAAAAGAGTTACACCAATGAAACAATCCACCATGAATCTACAATCTCACCCACAAACTCCACTCCAAAACCCAAGCCCTAACCCTAATTTCCTACACTCCGTCTCCTCGTCCAAAGGAGGCAAATTTAAATCCAAAACAACTACTCTCTTCCCGCCATCATTATCCTTGATCTTCTCCACTAACCCATGCCCAAATCCTTCATTAACCCCTCTATGCCTCCTCATATGCCCACCAAGAGCTTGACCAATCGCAAACTCAAGCCCACAGATTGAGCACTCATGCACTCTAGGCTTAGCCGCTTGTGCACTTTGGGTCCGGTCTAGACCCTCATCGTTTGGCCTAGGCTTCTTGTGACTAGCTCTGTGCCCACCAAGAGCTTGAAACGAATTAAACTGCCGGTTGCAAGTCTTGCACTCAAAAACTCTGTTATCAACCTCTCCTCCGCCTCCGCTGCCTCTAGAGAGGAGCATCAGCACGTTGGCAATGTTGAAGCTCTCTATCGCTACCTGCTCGCCTGCGTATCTCTGTCTCTTCATATTGTAGGCTACTCCGATGCTGATCGATTCTGAGTAAAACTTCGGTACGATCTTGGAACGTATTTATAGGCTTGGTTGGGGGTGATGGTGTTTGGTTGAGATGAAAGGGTAAGGGTTTATCTGGTGATGAGAGGAAGCACGCGTACATAACAAGTTGGTGAGAGGGCCACGTTTTCTTTGATTTGAAAATATTAGCGGTTCTCTAGAATTGGAAGCATCTATTACCTATTGAAAATTGAAGCTTGTGTGTTATAGTTTGAATTGATAGAAGCGATTGAGTCAGTGCAAGGGCGTTTATTTATTACCATTCAAAGTGGACTTTTAGTAGTAGGAGAATTTTAAGAGTACAACGCGGCTAAGTGCTAATTAAACTTGTTGTAGTTGCAGTGGAGAAATGGTAGTTGGAGTTAGTTGATTAATTAGACCAGCTATATTTTGTCAGGCATTAAAATTTGGCATACCCAATTTGGTGGGCACATGCTAGTGGTCAATGTACAATTTTTTTTTCTTTCGGGTCTTTTTTATTTTAGCATTCTTCTTATTCTTCTTCTTTGCAACCCCTCTCACCTATTTTGACTGTAGAAACCCCCCCCCCTCAAATTATGGAGTTATTGTAAATAATCCCCCTTAACTTTCGAAATATTATTTATCCCCGCTCAACTTTTCTCACTTAACCGCCTAAACTAATATAATTTAAATCTAAAGGAACAAATAACTTAAAATGAATACTATCCCTTATAAGATATTAAAATTTTTTTAACCATATTGTTCATTGTAAACCTTTTTTTTGGCTCCTCCTCCATCTTCATTGCTAGGTTTACGCGCAAATCTATTTTTTTTTTCTTTTTTGAGACATTAAACTTTTTTTATTTTCTACTTATGCATGCTGGTAATATTTAGAACAATTGAAACTTTAAAAAAAACTTCAAAGATTGGCTTCCTCATCAAAACACATCGAACCGACTCGTATACTATTTTGATTGGGTTGGGTTTTTTAACTAACATGAATTTTTTTAACCAAGGGTATTTTAGTCATTGCACATTTCAAATTAATAATATTAGGGGGGTTATTTGAAAAAAAAATAGAAAGATAAAATGGTTTTTATGATACACCCCATAGTTAAGGAAGGTGTAGTCATATTTTGAAAGTTGAGTGGGGTTATCTACAACACCCTCAAATTTGAGGGTGGTTTTCTGAAGATAAATAGCTGAGGATGGTCTTCTGAGATAAACCTCATAGTTAAGAAGGGTTTTCTAAAATTAACTATATATATTTTGATTCGGGTGAAAGTTAACCGTGCGCAGATTAGCCAGAACATGAACTATATCCTTGAATTTGTCCAAAACTTGTTATTTCGTCTAATTGTTCATAACTTTTATCCATTACGTTGGGAAGAAGCAAAAGATGTTCACATTTGTGGACGGATGTGTTTCCTTGACCCTGAACTACGTACATTGCTTTGCTCCTCAACGAAACATATGTCCATATACATAGCCTTGAACGTACGAATCCTCCATTGACTAAGATATTTAGATATCCTAACTCTCATATTCTTAGTTTATAACAACATTATCATTATGACGTGCAGTTGTTTAGTCATTGCTTACCTGTAGATACTTATCTAGATCCCTTGAATCAGAGAAACATTCCCAAGTTTTGACTTCAAGAGCTACCCTTGCTGTTCATTGGACACTTAATTAATTCCCAATCGTTTGGGCTTTAATTACTCTTTGAACTCAAAAGTCAGATGGATTAACAAATGGAAAGAAGCTAACTACACCCTTTAATCAATTTAGCCAGCGCGTTTTAGCACCATATCATATGTTGGCATCTGAAATATTTATGATAAAACTTGGACTTGTGGCGGAGTATAATAATTCAATTAAATAAACAACCTCATTAATATACTTGATTATATGTAGAGATGTTTACAGTTTTTTTAATTGATGATCCACTTGCCGTTTGCTGCGTCCAGCTTCCCTGACTTTGATGGCTCTTGTTAAATATTTTTTTAAAAAAATAAAAAATAAAAAGACAAACATTTTTCAGTAACACTGAAAAGGCCACTCCCCTTTAGGTACTCAGGAGTCGCATTTACATATATAATTACACAAATAGAAATGATTTTAGTAGTTCATTTGACACTTCATTATCTCTAAAAAAAAATACTAGAAATATCTTTTGAGCAAATTTCATGGAGAGCAATATCATTTTTCATTTAATCGCCATCAGACATGATCATGAATCAGGCGTAGTTTTTCTTTATGGAATTAAGTGTAATCTTAGCATACTAATTATATACTAAATGAACCTAATTAAGAGAATGATATATGAATACCACCTTTTATTGTAATTGGCAATTATAGAATAATCAATACTTTTTTCACTCTGGTTCTCTATTTTCTGGATAACCAAAAATTCTCTAGATAGCATGATAGAAAATCATGTCACAAACCTGACAAAGTTAAGAACCGCCAATATATATTAAAAAAACATAATACTTAAATCTAGCTTAAATATATGATTGCTAAAGCGTTACATGCCTCCCCATCATAAGTCTAATTCGAATTGGAAAAAGAGTGATTCAGGCAACACAATACATTTTTTTTAGTGTTTGCCTAAAAATGTCAACAAGTGTAAATTAGCATACATATTTGAATGTAAAAAGGTGGCATGAATTGCTAGGAAACTTCGGAGTTTAGAGATAATAATAAATAAACAAACAAATAAATAAAAAGAGGAAAATTAAAGTAAACGCTCCATGTACATCGATTCTCCGTATTAGATGAGATCATATATTACTCTAGTAGTGACAATATTGTATCTGATTAACTAAAAGAAGCAAGTATGAGGTCAGTGCTAATTTAAATTGAGATTAAATTTTGCTTAAATACGTGTTATGTATCTAACTAACTTTAGCTTTTCCCTGTTTCGGATCAAGAATAGATGGCTACTTCCACTATGGCCTTGTTCCCTGTTTGCGACTTGGAAAGACATAAAACAGAGAATAATACAATAGTATGATATCACATTGAGTTAGACGTTACTAAAAAGTAGGGTTTTTTTTTGGGTGGGTTGGTGGTGGGGTGGGGGGGAGGGGGGGAGGTTGCTCTACACTTAGTTCAATGAAAACTATGGGGGGGGGGGGGGGGGGGGGGGGGGGACATAGAAGGTGCTTAAATAAGTTTAAAAAATGATCTCCACTAAAGATAGTTATATTTTTTTTTCCTCGCTGCATTTAACCATGGTAAAAGAGAAATCAAAATAAAACTGTATATTATCAAAAGAGAATAAGTAAAACAAAACTCGAGATAGAGTTTATTTGTTTCTATTGTTACATGGATGAACAAAGCATTAACATGTTAACGACCGCAAAATAAGAGAGAAATAATGAGCGAACTACCAGCCTGACATGTTGGCTCCATGGCTCTTTCAAGAACAAAAGTCCACAGTTCATCTCTCATTTTCCTTTTGCAAATGAATAAGTGGGAACAAACTTGAAGACCTTCCAACCTTACAATTAGAATGATTCTAAAATCTATATAATTTTTGAGGTAGCAAGGCTCAGAGTTCAATCCGCATCTCAACCCGTCCAGCATAAAGTTTGCTTCAACTGGTTTGGAGGAAAAGTTGGAGGAGATTTATAGGTAATTTCATTTAAAAGCACAAAAGGGAGGAAGAATTTAGAGGCACACTAATATCATGAGATCTAATGAAGATTGTCAATAATAAGAGCAAACGCTGCTCAGAAAAGATTGGCTGAGATCTTGTCAAATAAAAATGGGCCTAGAAGAAAAGGTAGAAGAGCGCATGCACACTCGAGAGCAATTCTTCATAAAAAGGAAAGCATTTAGAGTTGTGAAATTATCGGTGCCTAAGTATCTTGCAAAGCATAGTCACCCTACTGTCACTCTACAGAAACCGTACATGAGATTTTCAAACCTCATACGGCTCCCTCGTTCAATTCTTTCGAAGTAATGGATTCCTTTTCTTCGTTCCGAGAATCTTTCCCTTCTTTCACCACCTCGTTCTCCCCCAAGAGTAACTAAGACAATTCATCCGTTTTCACATGGTTCTAATTGAACACTTCCATTTATATGCAAAGGAGAAAGAATTATTCTTTTAGCCACATCTGGCATAATGGGATCAAATTACGATCTTCTATGACTATAAGAACAAAGGATGCTTTCTCGATCAATCCTTTGGCCCTCATTCTTCCGAGAATCAGAAAGATCCTGTTTCGGGTTTGAATTTATTAGAGGGGATGATCCAAAGAAAAAGATTCTTTAAATGTTAAAAAGAGGGGGAAGATGTATCTGAATTTGAGCGAAACTCTAGATGGAATTCAATCATTTGCCTATTGGATATACAGAAGAAGTTGATTTACAAAAAGCCATATGGCGAGTCTGATGGCCTAAGACTCCTTTTTTATCCATTTACAATCAATTTTGTAAGTGCTAGGCACTGCCTAGGCTACCGCCTAGCGCCCCAAGTCTGGAGAATTCCTTTTTTGTTTAGGTATGGGAAGGTTAAAGAAGTTGGGGAAAGGTGTTGTAGTTGGATTGATGCTAGAGAAGTTCCGGAGGAGTCAGCAGCATTATGAGAGGCAGCAAACAAATGAAATCACGACCAATACTATGGAACAGTTTGCAGTAAGCGGGTCTCTCCGTCCATTAGCTCTCTCCAAGACCAGGCTAGCAAGAGCCTAAGCGCCTAGGTACCACCTAAGGCATAGAGGGAGCAAGGTAGGCTAGGGGGAGCCTTTTTAAAACATTAATACAATAGGCTTACGTTGTGTTGAATCCAACCAAACAGTCCAGGGACCCCAACGGCCATTAAACATAACATGCATCTATTAGTCCAGAAATATATTATTACATATTTATATATGAACAGGCACATTTTAGTAATTTTTTCCTTGCAGTTTCTCTTTCTTCAAGTTAAGCATCGTTCCTTACCAGTCCTCCAAGTTTATCAATTGCAAGTTGGCTAGTACATATAAAGCTACAAAAGTTAAGATATATCTTGCAGATATACATTTATGCAGCGATTCTTAAATAGCAACTAGGTCTATTGTCCGCTGCACAGTAATCAAGTAACTCAAACATGCTAAATAAATTTCTATTATTCAAGGACAACAGAAACGCA